TACAGTCAATCCTTTTCTTATAGTATTGTGATAATTGTTCAAGGTCCACTTATGAGTGAGAACATATGGTACTCTGTTCTTTGTTTCTGTGATAGAGCACTGAGTATGATAGACTCAAAATTCCTCCAAGTTGTTGTAAAGTCCATATGTTTGTCCTTCTTTATGGCTGCATAATGTTCCATTGTATATATGTATCACATTTAAAAAATCCAGTCCAGTTTTGATGGGCAGCAGGTTGGTTCCATGTTTTTGCTATTGTGAACAGAGCTACAATAAGTATACGTGTGCAGGTATCTATTTGTAGATGATTTGAGTTCCTCCAGGTATATTCCCAATAGGGGGACTGCTGGGTCATATGGAAGGTCAAATTCTATTTCTTTCAGAAATCACCACACTGTCTTCCAAAGAGATTGCATTGGTTTTCAATCCCACCAGCAGTGTAGAAGTGTTCCTTTTTCTCCACATCCTCACCAGCATCTGTTTTTATTTGTTTTATTAATAATGGCCATTCTTACTGGGGTTAGGTGGAATCTCAATGTGGTTTTGATTTGCATTTCTCTGATCTTGAATGAGGCTGAGCACTTTTTCATGAGTCTGTTGTCTGCCCGAATATCTTCTTTTGAGAAGCATCTATTCATGTCTTTTGCCCACTTTTTAATGGGGCTGTTTGTATTTTTCTTTCCCACATGTTTGAATTCCTTGTAGATCCTAGATGTTAGGCCTTTGTCAGCCATAGGGTTGGGATAAGAAATGTCTAATGTTAAGACCATCCTCAGGAGTTGAGAAGGAAGAGAGATAAGGAATTATGTGGGAGCTTAGCGAACAAAGAACTGGAGAGCATCTGTCAAGGAATAGAATATAGAGGTATACAAAAAAGAAAGGCAGAAATCTAAAGAAACTATACCAAAGAAATAGCTAATAAACTATTTCAGCAAAGTTTCACAATATAAAATCAACATACAGAATCAGATAGGCATGGTGGCTCACACCTGTAATTCAAACACTTTCGGAGACTGATGCAGGAGGATCACTTGAGCCCAGGAATTCAAGAACAGTCAGGGCAATATAACAAAATCTCATCTCTAAAAAAAAAAAAATCAAAGAAATTAGCCAGGTTTGGTGGCTCATGCCTGTAGTCTCAGCTTTATGGAAAGTGGAGGCAGAAAAATACCTAAGCCCAGGAGTTCAAGGGTGTAGTGAGCCATGATCATGCCACTGCACTTCAGCATGAGTGACAGAGTGAGACTCTGATTCAAAATTTAAAAAAATAATTCAGTTGTATTTTTATACACTAGCAATAAATGATTAAAAAAAGAATATGAAGAAAAAAATGTCATTTACAATAGCAACAAAAAGAATAAAATATTAGGAATAAATCTAACCAGGAAAGTTTTACATTTGTTTGTAAACAAGGCAAAACAATGCTAAATGTAAATAAGATACAAACAAAGGAAAGACAGCCAGAGTTTATTGATTAGAAGACAATATTTTCAAGATCTCAATGCTGCACAAAATGTCCAACAATTCAATGCAATAGCTATTAAAATCCCAAAAACCTGCTTTGCAAATCACCAAAAGCTAGCTTTCAAGATCACATGGAACTGCAAAGGAACCCAAATGAAAGAACAATTTTGGAAAAAAAAAGAATAAACTTTGACAGCTCATCCTCCTGCTTTCAAACTTACTACAAAGCTACAGTAATCAAAATAGTGTGGTACTGTCATAAGGTTAAACATATAAACAAATGCAATAAAATTGAGAGTCCAGAAATAAGCCTCTACATCTTTATCTGATTTTCCACAAGGTTGCCAGGACTATTTAATGGGTAAAGAATGCATGAGATAGAAAACACAGGAATTAAGCAAGAAAGCTGACCTCAGGATTTTATCGTAAGTAAGCAACTACTTGCCATTTCTGCTTCTGTAAATATGCTTTAAGTAAACAACTGCATGTCATCTCTGCTTCTGTAAATACACTGTAAGTAAACAATTACATTCCATTTTCCTTAACTGCAAACTCTGTTTCTATAAACACGTTTTATTACACCTAATATGAAAATGTCCATTAAAATGTCTGCTTCAATGTTTGTTGTAAAAATAGAAGTAACTGTTCCTGGTCCTAAATTTAAAATTGTACATCCATCAATGACAAACCCGTGTATGTTGTAACCAAAAGGCTCTATAAAAGCAGCTTGAAACTGAGGGTCAGGGCTCAGGTTTGGGGAGGCTTCTCCACCTGAGACTTCTGGAATAAACACATTCGATTCTCCTCTCAGTCTCTGGTGCCTGTTCTGAGTGCATTCATTCCTGTTCCCAGTGATTTGCTGCAGTTGCAAATGGTACTGAGAAAACCAGATGTCTATAAGTAAAAATATGACAGGGGATCCTTATCTCACACTAGAGATAAAATTAATTTAAAAGGAATCAAATACCTAAATATAAGAGCTAAAAATATACGAATCTTAAGTGAAAGCATACAGTATATGTATATTTACCTTGAATTTGACAAAGGTTTCTTATGTATGACACCAAAACAATGAGCACAAACAGCAAAACAGATTAAACACAAAATTAAACACACTTGTATAGTAAAGGAAACTATTAAAAGAGTGATAAGACAGTCACAAAATAGGAGAAAATATTTGTAAATCATATATCTTACAATAGTCTAGTATTCAGCATATATAGATATGTTTTTTGTTGAGTTATAAGATATACATATATATAACAACAACATAACAATAAACAATACAAAAAATAGTCAAAGAACTTGAATAGATATTTTTCTGAAGAATATCTACAAATAAACAACAAACACATGAAAAGTTGCTCAGCATCATTATTCATTAGGGAAATGCAAATAAAAGTCATGAGATTTCAATTGACATCCATGAGCATGGCTATAATAAATAAAGTAAAATAACAAGTATTGGAAAGGAAATGGAGAAACTGAAGCCTATATACATTGTAGGTAGGAATGTTAAATGGTACAGCTGCTGTGAAAAACAACATGGCAGTTCCTCAAAACTTAAACATAGATGAACTATATGAGCCAGCAACTGCATGACTTACTACATAATCAAAAGAACAACAAACATTTCAACAGAAATGTGTATACAAACGTGTGGAGGAATATAAGACCTGATTCATTTTATTGAATCATGAATTAATTATATTGAAACAAGAATTATATTGAATCAGCATGATTCACACCAGATGGGAAAGAGATGGCCAGTACAGTAGCTACCTTGACATAACTAGTGCTCTAGATAGGAGACACACATGGTAAAATTTCAGGTGGTGATCAGTCAGTGAGCTTCCTATGTGACCGTCAGTTTGTGACATGACAGGACTTTCCCTCCAGAGGAAGACAAATTATTACATCTCACAATTCCCACCCTTAAGAGAGAAATACACACTTAGAAGACCTCTTCAGCCTCTTGAAGCCTATATTCCATTCATGGGAATATTCTTCCAACAAATTACCAGGTGACAGAAAAGCTATAGATTTAAAGGGTCTCAGAAAAGACAAAGACTCTGCAGGTATGATACTTGTATCCATAACATTTGAGTGATATGACCCAGCACATACAAATACACACATACACACACACACACACACAAGCACACATACTTGAAGTATTTGGCAAGCTCAAAGGAAAAAAATGCACAATATAATCTTCCAAGTTTTCTGGAGCACAAATGGATACTAGGCCTTGGAAGAAATGAAGCATCTGACCATGGGACAGACAACTGCATATGTGACCAACTATGCACCTGATTGAGTGGGTTCCTGAGAAACCCTAAGACACTAAAAGAACCCAAGATCTTAGCTTCTCTACTCAACAAGGATGCTGGTGTGTATGAAATGGAATAAAAAAGAGATGCAGTAATTCTTCAGGCCTCTCTTTCCCAAAATTCCTCCATCCAGTCTCCTTCCTGGGGAATCACAGGCACTGAATTTGACCTCCTGATCAAGATAAAGCCTCCAGGCCAAAACCAAAGAGTAGGGGGATAGGGAAAGACCTGCAGGAGCACATCCCTCCATCACTGGAGTTTCCACTATGGACACTAGAGGGGGCTGTGCCCTAGGCACTGGGAGAGCAAGTCAGCTGTGAAACTTATGTAGGTCCTGAATCTGATTTACATAAGGTCATTGATGTTTATCAACTGAGTAGTCATGACCTTGCCAGGGAGATACCCCAGGGAGGGGAAGTCATTTGCATGAAAGATGTGCCCCCACAGGGTGTAAGGAGTTATAATGAGATCTTTGGGAGCTGAGCCTGTGGGAACAGTACTGGACAGCACAGCACTGGGCTGTCTGCACCATGGGCTGGGCTTCTCTACTGTTCATTCTTCTGGCTCACTGCACAGGTAAGAAGGATCTTTCTGTGCTGACTGTGGGGGGGGGAAGACAACACCAAACCTTCCTGTTTCCTAGCCTGACCATTTTCTCTCTCATTTGTTTTCAGGGGCCAGTTCCCAGGCTGTGGTGACTCAGGAAACTTCACTGGCCATAACTCCTGGAGGGACGGTCACACTCACCTGTGGCTCTAGTACTGGGGCTGTCACCACCAGCAACTATGCCAGCTGGGTCCAACAGACCCCCTACCAGGTACCCCGTGGTCTAATAGGTGACACTAGCAACCGGGTCTCAGGGGTCCCTGCCCGGTTCTCAGGCTCCCTGCTTGGAGGCAAGGCTGCCCTCACCATCACGGGGGTTCAGCCTGAGGACGAGGCTGAATATTACTGTGCTCTGTGGTTCAGCAACCATTTCCACAGTGACAGACACAGATGGTGATGTGAGACAAAAACATCCATCTCAACTTCACCCTTTGCTCCTCAACTCCTCCCTCTTCTTATGTACAAAGATGAACATAAAGTCCTAGGAAATATGTCTGCCACTGGAGAGGGATAGGAGTCTTTGGGACCCAGAGGGTGGATTGTGGTGGGAAGCCACTAAGATGACTACCAAGTGAACTTCACCTCCACCTATGCGCATCCTTCTGTACTTCCCACCCTCGAGGGTGGGTTGTACTGAGTGAGTGGCTGTGTAGTGAGTTTAGAGACTTAGGGGCTGATTAAGGAAAAGGCATAAGTGGAAGAAAGGGAACTCCCTGGAAATAAAACATACATGTCCAGATGTCACTCAGCAGCACAGCCAGGAATCTCTGGGTCACAGAACCAGGAAGGGAAGGAGCAGGTTGAGTACTTTTAGAACGCCAAGGTTTTTCTTATAAATGGCTAGCAGAAATGAGTACAGTTTCATGGGGTACACAAAGCAGTCAGGCTCTAAATGGCTAAAAATATGTTCTTCTGGTATATATTTGAAGCATTTGGACACATAACAATTTGATTTTTGTGCCGGCAGGCTTAAGCTAATGGTCCCAGCCTGCTGTGAAGAAGTAAACAACATAGGGGACAATATACAGGGACCATCTTTAATCCCCTGTAGAACAACTAGATTCTAACAAGTGAAACTGGGAAATGAGAGGATGTTACTCCTGACATTTGGTAGCTTTCTCTTGGAGTCCTTTCCCTGGGGCTGGAGGGTGGTATAGATACTCTGTCCTGGGGCAACCTGTGGAGAAGCAAACATGGTAAGGAGCAAAGACCTGTCAACAGCCATGTGAGTTAGCTGACAAGTGGATGCTACCACCCCAGTCAAGCCTTTGGCATATAGGTATCCCCTGCTGACAGACTGCCTGCAACTGAATGAGACACCCAGCTGGGGAACTCCTTGATTCTTTTTTTTTTCTGAATTGGAGTCTCACTCTGTCACCCAGACTGGAGTGTAGTGGCCGCTCTCAGCCACCGCAGCCTCGACCTGCTGGGCTCGGGCGATCCTTCCACCTCAGCCTTCCAAGTAGCTGGAACTACAAGCACGCGCTACCACTCTCAGCTAATTTTTTTTATTTATTGTAGAGATGAGGTCTCGTCTGCCCAGTCGGGTCTCAAACCCACGGGCTCAGGCAATCCACTTCTTAACTTGCAGCAACTAGAATGTTTTAAGTCACTGTTTTGGGATCATTTGTTACACAGGAATAGTTAGTAAAGGCATTAATTAATTAGGATCTACAAGGTTAGTTTAACTGTGGAGGAGGAGACTTAGGCACTGCCTGTGCAGATCTGCTAGGGTGCATCAGAGGAATATCTCTGGTGATCAGACTCACAAAAACTTAACCTACAGCCTAGGATGTCTCCTACAGCAGGTGAATACCTGTGCCAATGACTTGGGGGGCATATCTTTAATGAGACATGGACACAAGTTCAGTCTTCCTGGCACTTTCCGCTTAATAGTAACAAAGGCATTCACATTTGTTACAAAGGACAAGCGTTTTTAGGAACAATTTAGCATGTAGAATGTGTGGTTTGCAACTGTTATACAGGCATCAAAGTGGGGAGATCAGTGAAAGATTCTGAGCTCCTCAGGCCCAAACCTTAAAAACGAGGTGGATATAAAGCCTTTGGTGGGATGTGGAATACTCAGTAAAATCAAACACAAAGACTGCACTTTGAATTTCCACTGTCCCCAGCTCCCACATGTGCACACAAGCAATTTCCTATTCCAGGACCTAAGACTGGACTGAGAACTTCCCCTTTCCCATATGTTATCATTGCTCTTGTTTTGCTGTGTTCTGATATTTGTGTTATGCTATTTCAAATAAAGAACTGAGGAAATTTCCATTTTTTTCTCTCCACTAGACATTCTTACTTTGAGTATTTTCTTCTTCTCATTTGCAAATGCATCTCTGTGTGTGTATGTGTGTGTCTGGGGTCTAATTTTATATGCATGTTTTGGTATAGATTTGAGCTAAGATTGAACATGTATATAGGTATCCTGACTTATTTGCTTATTAGTACACTGAAACTGTTTTGCATTCTTCCTAACTATTCTTCAAACAGAGTTTTCAAAAATAATAGCAAATGGATTCACCCCAGTGTATTAAATATTAAATTAAGTGTACTTCAATATTTGCCAGGCATGGTGGTTCATGCCTATAATCTTAACACATTAGGAGACCAAGGCAGGAGGATTGCTTCAGCCCAGGAGTTTGAGCCTGAGCAACATAGCAAGATTTAGTCTCTACAAAAAAATAAAGAAAAAAAATAAAAAAATCAGCTGGGTATGTTGGTGCACATTTGTAGTCTGAGCTACTCAGGAAGCTAGTGGAAGGATCACCTGAGATGAAGAGGTTGGGACAGCAGTAGGCCATGATTGTGCCATTGCACTCCAGCCTAGGCCACAGAGTGAGACCCCAACTTAAAAGAAAATACAAAATAAGGGGTGAGAGGGCCACTAAAAACCTAAATCTTACCTGCATACAATTTAGTTATGAAGTAAAACCTCACATGTACCCCACAACTCTGAAATCAAATAAATAAAATAAAATTTCTCTTTAAATTTGTTTTAAATTAAAAATAAAATATAAGTAAATTTTTCCCTTATGGTGAATATGTAGATTATTTTTCATATTACTCTAATGTGAAAAAAAGTCTCTTAAAACCTCTAAAACCAAATATGTTTATCATCCTCATCAATATTTTCACTTGACCAATATGTATTAAGCACATAACTAATAATTATGCCAGGAAAATCAGCATAAAAAAGAGTGTCCTGGATAACTGGGAAACACTCAATGCATATATTTTTTTTTCTATTACTTTATTCTTTAATTTTAGACAGGTTTATTTTGTTTTTGCTTTGTTTGTTTTGTTTTGTTTGCTTGTTTTGAGTTGGGTTCTCACTCCATTTCCCAGGTTGGAGTGCAGTGACAAGATCACAGCTCACCACAGACTTGACCTCCTAGGCTCGGGCAACCCTTCCACCTCAGTCTCCCAAGTAGCTGGAATTACAGACATGTTCCCCATGACTGGCTAATTATTTGTATTGATTGATTTTTGCAGAGATGAAGTCTTGCTATTTTGCCAAGGCTGGTCTTGAACTCCTGGGCTCAAGCAATCCTACACCTAGTCTTCTCAGAATGCTAAGGTTGCAAGTGTAAGCCACCATACCCAACTGAAACATGCTTTTTTGATGGGATCAGTTCAGCAATTTTAATAAATTGACCAAATTATTTCACCACCAATGCAATAGAAACACTCATCCTCTCACCCCAAAATGTGTCCCTTGTGCCTTCTTGCAGCACATTGCCTTCCCTAAGCCCTAGCAGCTACTGATCTGTCTTCTCTTGCTATAGTTTTGTCTTTTCTAGAATGCCATGTAAATAGACACATGAATTATGCAGGCTATTATATCTGGCTCCTTAACACAATGCTTTTAATGTTCATCCATCTTGTCCTATATGTATCAATATGTTTTTTCTTGAATGTAATTCCATTTTGTGGATGTCCTATTGTTGGGAGCCAACATCTATAGCTACATGGCTGAGGCCTGTAAAGGCCCATCTGGAAGAT